GTGTGTGTGTGTGTGTGTGTGTGTGTGTGTGTGTGTATTCTTCCAGAGATATTATATGCAAAAACAAGCCTATGCGTATGTGCATTTCCCTTTCTTCCTCTCTCCTCCTCCACCTGTATTTTAAAAATATTAATACTAGACCCATGGTCTGGACATTGCTTTTTAATATATCTCTGTCTTGGAAATCAGTTTATGTTAGTACTATAGAACCACCTCATTCTTTTTTTTTTTTTAATCTTTATTGGAGTATAATTACTTCACAATACTGTGTTAGTTTCTGTTGCACAGAAGGTGAATCAGCCATATGCATACATGTATCCCCGTATCTCCTCCCTCTTGCATCTCCCTCCCACTCTCCCTATCCCACCTCTCTAGGTCATCACAAAGCACCTAGCTGATCTGCTTGTGCTATGCTGCTGCTACCCGCTAGCTAACTATTTTACATTCGGTAGTATATATATGTCGATGCTGCTCTCACTTCGCCCCAGCTTCCTGCCCCCCCCACTGTGTCCTCAAGTCCATTCTGTACGTCTACGTCTTTATTCCTGCCCTGCCACTAGGTTCATCAGTACCATTTTTTTTTTTTTTTTTAGATTCCATATATATGTGTTAGCACTACAATGAGGTATCACCTCACACTGGTCAGAATGGCCATCATGAAAAAATCTAGAAACAGTAAATGCTGGAAAGGGTGTGGTGAAAAGGGGACCCTACTACACTGTTGGTGGGAATGTAAATTGATACAACCACTATGGAGAACAGTATGGAGTTTCCTTAAAAAACTAAAAATAGAACTGCCTCATTCTTTTAATGGATCCTTATTATGTCCTTGATTGTAAATATACCACAATTTAGTTAATTAGTCCCCTTTAAAAGGGTAGTTATTCTTAATCTTTTGTTGCTGTAAACGGTGTTGCAGTGAGTGTCCTTACACATCAGCCTTTGTGCCCATGCAGGCAGGGTAAAAGCAGGAATGGTGTGGGCATGCTGCTTAAGAGTCAACATTCTCATCGTCAGGTTTTCTTTAAAGTGTCTACTGTGTAAACTAAAAGATAATTGAATATTGAAGAATATTGAAAAAAAGGGAATCACAATTCCCCAACCCTCAACAACAACAAAAAGTTGTTGAAAAGTCTTTGAAGTGGAATTGCTGGATTGAAGGGCTTATACATTTTTATTTCTGAATGGAGAAAAAAATTTTCTAATTCTTTTTTCTATATCGTGTGTCATTGCTTCTCCAACCTTTCTGTTCATGTGTTGATTTCTTAGATTTATCTTCAATGTCTGCTATCTTTTTGAAACTTTCATCTCTTTATTTATTCTGAGTTTTGAGAGAATTTCCAAGGCATAATGGTTCAGTGTTTGCTTTCTGCATTTCACAGTTCTTACGATTGTTGAATTCCTAAATGTGATAGTCATTTTTTTTGTGTGTGTGTGTGGTTTGCTTTTAGGTAGTCGTATGTTCTTACATTGTTCTCAGAAGAGTAGTGGTCTCCTATCTTTTGACCTTTTTGTTGAAGGACAACATGTATATGAAAACATGCTTGATAGTTTTTCACAAAGTATACCTTTGTAACCAGAACCCAGATAAAGGAACAAATATTACCAACATCTCAGGACCTCTCCTGTGCCCAATTCCAATTACAGTCCTTCAATGGATAACCACTCTCCTGACTTTTACACCACAGGTTCATTTTTTTTAAAAAACTTTATGTAATTGTAATCCTGTAGCACATACTGCTTCTCCCTTCTGTTGTTTCACATTATGTTTGTGAGAACTGTATATTGTTGCGTGTAGTTGTCTGTTTATTTCTGTATGTTATTCCATTGTATGAATAAACCACAGTTTGTTAATTCATTCTACTGTTGATGGACACTTGTGTAGTTTCTAGTTTGAGGCTATCATGAATAGTGCTTCTATGGATACTTTTGTTCAGGTCTTTTGATGCACATATGTACATATTTTTTGTTGGATGTATATATCTAGGAGTAGAATTTCATGATCACAGGGCATATACATGTTAAACCTCTAAAGCAGTTATCTCATTTTGCCTTCCGATGAGAATACTGGTTGTTCCACCTCCTTGTCAGTACTTGGTATTTTCTGTCTTTTTCATTTTAGCCATTCTGGTAGGTATGAATTAGTAGTTCATTGTGGTTTTAGTTGTCATTTTCCTGATAACTTGTAATGTTGAGCAACTTTTCATATGTTTATTGACTATTTGGGCAACTTCTTTTGTGATATGCCTGGTGAAATTCATTTTTACATTAAAAAAAATTTTTTAATACATTTTAGTAGCAGGTAGGCCACATTTCCCACCCTTTTGTCTCCACCATTTCCCTTTATCCTTAAAAATTTTTTTTCTTGGCTCTTCTCTTGACTATTGTTTTTCTCCTAAAAAGTGAACTTTAGAATCAGCAACCTCAACTCGTCTAGAAGTTTTAGTGAATTTGCATGTAACTTACTTTGTTGGAGAAATACCGTCATCTAAATTGGAAGATGATGTTGTCATTCTTTCTAAGAAAGAGAAAATAATAAATCGTAAGCCCTCACAGTTGTTTGCCTACCATATTGATTTTTCCCATATTTAATTTTTAATTCTAGTTTTAGTTCCATTTTTGACAAGTGATTATTAGAAGTGAAACTCTCTTAAAATGCATTTAAAGCCTACAGCCCCCTTAAATACATCTATATGTATAAATATCTTACAGGTTCTTGATCAGTATGAACGAGAAGGATTTAATTTCCTGGTGAAGGTGTTTAATTCTTCACATTCCTTCTTAGAGGATTTGACTGGTCTTACGTTGCTGCATCAAGAGACCCAGGCTGCTGAGGTAAGACTAAAACAAGCATTTTGTTCAGAAGACTGATGTGTTTCAAACCTGTTTGATGATTGGATTTATGGAAAAGGAAGGAAGCAGTTCATTACAATTTTTCCTTAGGACAAAATCACTAAATAAGTCTGCTAGTTATCAGAAAATGAGCCTTCTGCAGTAGCTGGATGACGCCGTGTGCAGGTATTGTGTGGTAGGTTCCAAATGCACAAAATTGCTGATAAAGGAAGTACAGGTTATTGATTTCCAAGCACCTCTGGTCCTTACTGAAGAACAGCATGCCTGTGGCCCTTGGAGGGTTGGCTGTGATGTCCATACATCAAAATGCAAGTCAGGGAAGACATTGGACTCTGGCCATGTCTTTTATTTCACAGCTGAACCCATCTTTGTAGGCCACTGAACCTCACCACAAAATGGCTTCCTCAGTTACAACCTAAGAGAGTTTTGTTTTGCTTGTCATTTAGAATATTTTGCAAATCGTAATTTCCTGGGTTGCTACCTGTGTGTGTGTGTGTGTGTGTGTGTGTGTGTGTGTGTGTGTGTGTGTTTTAAGACTGGGATTACAAACTAGATTATCATTTTGCTTTTCCAAATGCTCACTGTACTTAGAAAAGGGTATGCTGTGTATGTGTGGCACCGTTGGGTCACTTGGCCAAACAGACAGTTCCTCAAAATGGATGAATGAGATTAAATGAGATTAAACCAACATCTCCCCCCGCCATTCCCTACCCACCTCCAACCCCCACCCCACCCCACCCCCGCCCAGTAGCCTAGGTAAAGAAGCTCTTAGGAAAAATGTGGCCTGTCATAGTGTTTCCGCAAGCTGATAAGGAAAACCTTGAGTGCCGGTATCCTGTGGGAGTGGAATACTTGCAAAGTTACCATCAGTCCCACAGTAACTGATGTTGAGAGTAACATAGTTCCGATGTTGAGTAACATAGTTGATTGATTTCTGCCTGGGGTTTTGTATGCTCAACATTGGGGGAAGCCCCAGTGGTCCGTGAGTGATGGTCAAGCCCAATACTGCAGTAGCTGGTGGTGAAAAGGCTGGTGTTTGGAAGACTGGAACTAGCCTGAGTATAGGAAAACGATGTAGAAATAGCAGAAGGAAATCTTGTGAAGCTTTCAGCAGCCACCCCAGAAAATCATGGTAGTGCTCTTCTAGTGCTAGACTTAGAGCTGAAACTGATTCTTCTTTGACTTGATTTGGTGTCCTCTGGGCATTCAGCAGATGCAATCTTCCACTTAAGACCAATAGTGAGACCCACATAGGGTATCTTAGCTTCATTTTCAGGAGATGAATGGCATCTCTGCAGGACTCTAAGAGATGTTGAGATGTTCCTCAGAGCTGTGATTGGCTTCCCAGACATGGTTCAGAGTATTATGTTGATCATGGCTGCCATTTTTTCTTTTGAGCAGCACTGATGGCAAGGGAAAAATAACTTACGGGTCTTTTCAACCATGCAGTCATTTGACTAGTTGGCTGGGGGAATTTTTCCACCCAGCTAGAAATAATTCACATACTTCTCTTTAACTGCCTGGAAGAATTGCAACTTGAAATTGATCCCATGTTTCACTCTTTAAAAACAGAGCAGATGCTCGGATAATGGGCCGATTCCTTCATTAAACCTGGCTTGTTTTGCGTTTTGGTTGGTCATACATTCGTAATCTTTTCAAAGACCCAGAAGGAGAAGGGGAAGTTTGAGAGCAATAGCAGCTAGGTGGTAGGGCGGAAGGGGGTATGATTTCATCCACAAGTCTTATCTTTCTTTTTGAAGTTTTCCTCTATTAAATTGCATTTATAGTTTTTGGAATCATAAGTTACACATCAAATTTTAGATTAGAGGTGGTAAACTTGTTGGCCTATGAGCCCGATATGGCTTACAGGTGTGTTTTGTTTGGCCTACCCTATGTGTTAAATTCTGAATAAAGCCAACATTTAAAAATTACGAGTTTTACCTAAAAATATAAACGTTCCCATTTCCAGCTTCTTTGAAAAATCAGATCTGGCAACCCCAGGCCTGCATTCCTTAATAGTGATGTTAGCTGGAGCCAAGAAGAAAATTTTATAGATAAATAATGCACTTGATACAAAGTTTTAAAGGCATAAAAATATTCTGTGTGGAAAGGAAACCTTCCTTCTGCACCTGTCCCTTAACACCCAGTTCTCTTCCTGGAGACACACACTGCTGTTAGTTTCTTGCCCAAAGGTATTCTTTAGGTGAGGATGCTCTGTTTAGAAGATGTTCTTCACAGTATGGTGGTTCCTTAAAAAACTAAAAATAGAACTACCATACGACCCAACAATCCCACTACTGGGCATATACCCTGAGAAAACCATAATTCAAAAAGAGTCATGTACCACAATGTTCACTGCAGCTCTATTTACAATAGCCAGGACATGGAAGCAACCTAAGGGTCCATCGAGAGATGAATGGATAAAGAAGATGTGGCACATATATACAATGGAATATTACTCAGCCATAAAAAGAAATGAAATTGAGTTATTTGTAGTGAGGTGGATGGACCTAGAGTCTGTCATACAGAGTGAGGTAAGTCAGAAAGAGAAAAAGAAATACCGTATGCTAACACATATATAAGGAATTAAAAAAATAAAAAAAGGTTATGAAGAACCTAGGGGCAGGACAGGAATAAAGATGCAGACCTAATAGAGAATGGAACTGAGGACACGGGGAGGGGGAAGGGTAAGCTGGGACAAAGTGAGGAGTGGCATGGACATATATACACTACCAAATATAAAATAGATAGCTAGTGAGAAGTGGCCGCATAGCACAGAGAGGTCAGCTTGGTGCTTTGTGACCACCTAGAGGGGTGAGTTAGGGCGGGTGGGAGGGAGGTGCAAGAGGGAGGGGATATGGGGATATATGTATACGTATAGCTGATTCACTTTGTTATACAGCAGAAACTAACACATCATTGTGAAGCAATTATACTCCAATAAAGATGTTAAAAAAAAAAAAAAGAGGTTCTTCAGTTGATGACCCTTATTGGTATTGGAATTTGCAACTCCTGTCTTAGGAAAAGATTATTCTTTTTCTTAAAAAGCTCTAAATAGGACTGTGTTTTAAAAAGATAATTCTCACCAGCAGACCTCAGAGCAACAAAAATCATTGTCTTGCCTATATTATTTTACTTTACTGTGAAAAATGTGTGTGTAAATAAATAAGTATGAATATCAAAAAATATACACATATAGTGTAAAGCTAGTGTTTTGATTTGCGTACTTGATTCCCAGTGCATTTACAGATGTTCAGTAATAAAAATACAAACTTCTGCGTCCCATATAGAAAGGTCCCAACTTACTTATTTTAGCAATGCAATCAGGAACGCCCAGTTAATTCTCATCTTGGGCTGTTTTCACCCATCAACACTGGAATTGCCAAAGATATGTGCCAGTATCATGTGATACATTGTTTACAAAATATGTATTTGTACAAATACTAGCTTAAAAAAAAAAACCTTTACTGAACATCTTTTGAAAACTTGGTAGCAAGGCACTATGCTAGTGACTGAATACAGAAGTTAATGAAATGAGTTCACAGTCTAGTGTGCACAGCAGAGACGTAAATAGTGAACTCTAGTATCATCAGAAATGTTGTAGTCATTTATATATTAGGTGCGGAGGGAGCAGGGGAAGTTACTCCCTGGGGGAGTAGGGATGTCAAGGAGAACTTCCCAGGGACCAAATATTCCATTTAGTTTTAAAGGATGAGTAGGCGTTCTCTAAAAATAAGAGTTGGATTTGGGCAGGGAAAGTGTACGGAAGGAGTCGGACAGGAGGGGAGGGCCAGGGCATCCTAGGGATAAAGGACCCAGAGGCCAGGAGTCTTCAGTGTGTCACTCAGATTGTGAGCATTTAGTTGGAGTTACCTGAAATCAGATAATGTACTTTTTAGTAACAGTTTTATTGACCTATAACTCACATACCATGAAATTTACCCTTTAAGAGTATACAATCTGGTGGTTGTTAGTGCATTCACACAGTTGTTAGGCTGCTGTTATTCCTAAGTTTAGTACCTTCTCATGCCCACGAAAAGGAGCTCCGTACCCATTGAGCCGTCACTCCTTGTTCCCACCTGCTCCTTGCGGTCCTGATAACCGCTCATCTCCCTGCTGTCTCGCGGGATTTGCCTATTCTGGACATGTCACATAAATGAAACCAAACAATGCATGGCCTTTGTGTCTGATGTCTGTAACTTAGCATGATGTTTTCTAGGTTCATCCATATTGTAGCAAGGTAATTCTTCTCAATTTAAAGAAGAAAAATGTTTTGATGCTATTAAACTTTCTCCTATGCCTTAATACCTGTGGTCTGTCTCCCTAAACATACCCCCTTTATGAAGGATGAATACAAAGCTGATCCCGCTAGAGACTACAAATCCCTTTATTTTCATAGAAAGGGGCACAGAGAGAATGGATTGAGAGAGATATTCAAGACAGAATCATCCAGATTTAGTGAGATTGACAAGTGCAACCCAGTTTTTTGCACCCGTCTCCCTTCCATCATCAAGTATACAAAAATGATTGCCATTATTTTAGTCCAGGTTACTAGTTTAATGATAGTGCTGTTGAGATTAACAAACAAACTGCCAGGTTGGTTTCTGTTGGAGGAGGGGTCGAGGAGCAAGGTGCAGAGTGGGGACTGGCAGTGGGGTGGAGGGGGGCACCAGACTCACAAAGGTAAGTTTGTCTTGGGGTATGATGATTTTGAGGTAGTGGAATAAATGAGTGAAAATGACTAGATGGTATTAGAGATAGGATGGAGATAGAGTTTGGAGAAAAAGAACAGAACTGGTAGATTGATTTCACAGATAAAGTTATTCTGTTTCATTTAGCGCAATGAGGCGAAGCTGTAGAGCTAAGATGCAAGAAAACTTAAATGAGAAATGTGTGTGGTATGTTAATTTTATTTCAAGCTGTAGATTAAAAAATTTTAAATACCCACGTCAGAAATGTTTTTGGTAATGCTAACATTTCATAAGGAAAGGGTATTGGACAGAGATTCGTGTTCTTTGTAGCCCATCTAGCTGCCAAATTTTAGGTGCATCTGCCCGTGAGGTATTAAAAGGCCCCACTCAGCTTTTCACGCTCTTAAAATGTTGCTGGCTGAGTACGGAATTTTGCATGGAGTTCTGACCTTTCCTTTCAAGACCCTTACTGAGAATGGGTTTGGATATTTGGAGATTGACCCCAGGTCCATATGGCTCCTAGATGGCTGTTTATCCCAGTTGGAACCAAAGGAAATGGCCTTAAAGTTAATGAAACACAAGATATCCAAGTCACAAAGCTGTTGAAGTGCTCACCAAATACTGTTTAAATTGCTGAATTTGTTGAAGAAAGGCTTAGTCTAAACCAAACATGTGAATGACTTAGCCATCTTTTCATAAAATGTGCTGTGACTTATCTTCTTAGGGTTATTTTTCATCAAGTATCAGTTCACATGTACTGATTTAGTTCCAACTGTGAGTTCAACATAGTGCTGTGGGAAACGCCAAATAATTTTCAAATTCTATCTAACTAGAGAGAAAACACTGATTATAAGAGTTAATGAAACAAGCTATATTGGTATATCCTTGAGATACTCAAATTCCAAAATTCCGTGACCCAGCTTTCTTGAAATATTTCATTCTCATTCTTGAAAGTTTGCAAGTTTCATGATTCCAAAATTAATTTTAGGCTATGTTTTCTCCCCTTGACTGATGCTGTATCATACAGTTATGTTTTTAGGATTGCAGTTACAGCATTCTTTCAAAAGAATTGCATTTTTGCTAAGCAGAAGTTGCTTTCTGCAGAATTGGGGATTAATGAATGATCATTTATAAAGTAAGTTTAGCACACCAGCTATAACATAGGATGTAAGGTCATAAACAGACTAGAAATGAACAGGGCTGGGCCGATGGGTTGATTTTTTAATTAAAACTCAGATTTTGACTCATCTACTACAGAATTCAGAATTCTAGAAAATAAAATGCCCATTTCTCTCATAGCAGGAAAGTCATATGAAAAACATTATAGTCATGTGATATGACTTCATTGGCATGACAGTTTACTGTTTAGCAAAGTAAATAGCACAATTAACAAGTGTTTCTGCTGGGACTTTTGCACTTACACTGAGTTTTTGGTCTCTCCCTCTTACAGCTGGTTTTGATTTGGTTCCTGTGGAATATTTTTGCTTTGTTTTGTTTTGTATTTAACAACAGTCAGATATTTATGTACAGCTTCATCAAGAGCCTCCGATGACAAATATGCCTTTGGAGGCCAGTAGAAGCTGTGGGAAACCCCCGTGTCAGCACTTAAACCTGTTGCCAATGGAGAGAAATCACTCTGGGGACTGACCTAGCCTGCTCGTGAATCCACTTCTCTTTTCCCAAGCCTTCTGCTAGCCCACTTCCAACCTGCACTGGCCCATCCTGAGACTGTATCCTGCCTTGATTTTTCCTTATGGAGCAATCCCTCAAGACACAGCTTTGGCTTTCTTTCCTTAAGTGAGGGGGGAAAGGCAGAAACAGCAGGCAGAAAGCCATTTAATTCTTACATTGGAAACTAGAGCCTGGTTTTTGAAATAAGGCTTGGCAGTATCCCTTCAGAGCTCACTTTATAAAATGAGTCACTTCTATTTGCTGTCAGAGCTATCTACATGGATTTGAGATGTTTAGATAAGTTGGTATTAGGGAAAGATCCAGTTGGAGGAGGGACAGTGAAGCCTGGGCAGAGTTCTGCACCCTTTAGAAGAGGAGTCTTGGATGGTACAGCCCACTTGGAGGTGTGTGGGAGAGAGAGGGGAAGAACCATACATGCTGAGTTCAAACAGCTAATATTAAGAAGTAGAACATGGAAACTGCATCCTCCTTAAATTTTAGTCCCTATTCTGCTAGTGTTCTCACGAGTACTTGAGTCATGAGAACGTTTTGTACATCAGTTTACCAAATTAAAATAAGGAGATTGAAGCAAATGCGAAATCCTTTTTAGCTCTAGTAATTCAGTGATTTTGATTCAGCATACCTGGTATGACCAAGAAGTAAAGAGATGGCCAATTTTTATATCAAAATGTTTTCAAATGCATCAGACTGATTCCTTTTTATACATTATACAGATATTCTCTGGTATTTTTCATATCTGGCTGCCATTGCTAGAAACAGTTCTGGTTGCATTCTTTTGAGACTTAGATATACCTGTACTTTGAACCTTTTAATCACTTCTCATACTTGGTACTGGTTGGTTTCTGTAGCAGTATGTAAATCCAAAATGGTGCAATCTGGCCAAATAACTTATTCTCCAGACTTCGGTACCGAGGACTTTTGGCTTCTTCATAAACTCAAGTCTCCCCTCACTTTAATTAAATATGTTTATAAAACATGCCACTCACTACCTTTTCATACAGCTTCCAAAGACAGACTCCAAAATCCTGTAGTTTTAAGTAATGGCAGCATCCTTAGAATGTTAAATGTATAATATGTGAGGAGCTTGTTTAAAAATTGGCCGTATTACACTATAACATACATAGAGTGTATGAGTGCCTGAACCCAGGCTTGGTCAGAAGGCCTGAGTTCATAGCCCAGCTCCAACAAATGGCCAGGACTGCTCTGTTCACCCTTATGGGTTGTGCAGGGCAGAACCATGTGCAGTGGCCCTGTGTGAGACCTTGGGTCATTTACTTCATTGAGCTTCACGTTCCTTATTTGTAGAATGGGATCAGTAATTTCTGCTCCTCACAATTACTGTGAGCATTAAATAAGAAAGTACCTAACAAAAAAGACAGATTAATTGGGCTCCATCAAAATTTAAAACTTTGTGCTTCAAAGGATGCTATCAAGGAAGTGAAAAGACAGCCTACAGAATTAGAGAAAAAAGTTTTTTGCAATTCATTTATCTGATGAGGAACCGGTATCCAGAATATATAGACAACTCTTACAACTCAGTAATAAAAAGACATCTAGCTCAATTTAAAAATGGGCAGTGGATTTAAATAGCCGTTTCTTGGGATTTGCCTGGTGGCGCAGTGGTTAAGAATCCGCCTGCCCGTGCAGGGGACACGGGTTTGAGCCCTGGTCTGGGAAGATCCCACATGCTGCGGAGCAACTAAGCCCGTGCGCCACAACTACTGAGCCTGCAACTCTAGAGCCCGTGAGCCACAACTCTTGAGCCCACGTGCCACAACTACTGAAGCCTACATGCCTAGAGCCCGTGCTCCGCAACAAGAGAAGCCACCACAATGAGAAGCCCATGCAACACGACGAAGAGTAGCCCCTGTTTGCTGCAATTAGAGGAAGCCTGTGCGCAGCAACAAAGACCCAATGCAGCCAAAATAAATAAATAAATGTATATTATTTTTAAAAATAAATAGCCGTTTCTTCAAAGATATACAGATGTCCAGTAAGTCCATGAAAAGATGCTCAGCATCACTAGCCATCAGAGAAAGGCAGATCAAAACCACTGTGAGATACCACTGCACACCCACTAAGACGGCTATAATCAAAAGGATGACAGTAATAAGTGTTGGCGAGATGTGGAGAAATTGGAACCCTCACACACTGTTAGTAGAAATGTAAAACGGTGCAGTCACTTTGGAAAACAGTCTGGCGGTTCCTCACAGAGTTAAATAGAGTTACCATATGGTTGTGCTCTTCCACTTCTAGGTATATAAGCAAGAGAAATGAAAACATATGTTCGCACAGAAACTTGTATGCAAATGTTTATAACAGCATTATTTATCATAATAGCTAAAAGGTAGAAACAACCCACAGGCCCATCAGCTGGTAAATGGATCAATAAAATGTGGATATTACTTTTGGAATCATAATGGAATGTTATTTGGTAATAAAAAGGAAAGACAGCTACAACGCAGATGAAGGTTGAAATTATGCTAAGTGAAGGAAGCCAGTCACAAAAGGCCACATATTATAGTATTTCATTTATATGAAACGTCCAGAATTTAAAAATCCGTAGAGTCAGAGAGCAGATTAGTGGTTGCCGAAGAGTGGGCGTGGGGACCTGGGGAGAAGATGAGGAGTGACCACTTATGGGTAAGGGTTTCTTTCTGAGGTGATGAAGTGTTCTAATCTTGGATTGTGATAACGGTTGCACACTGTGAATGCACTAAAACCAATGAATTATACACTTTAATGGGTGAAGTGTGGTAATGTGAATTACTTCTCCATAAAGATGCTTTAAAAAGAAAAGAAAACAAGCGCACAGCCCCACGGCACATAGCCGGGGCTCTCTATGCTTCTGCCTCCTCTCGTCTCTCTGTCCAGCTCCTGGTGGTAGTGGTGATTTTCTGCTGGTGACAGTGTGCTCGCTGTTTGTAGAAATGAACTCGGTGTAGATGCAACAGTGATTTCTCATGTTCTTATTGCGTCTTAGTTTTGAAAGCCTTAGTCTCTGTGCACCTCATTTCACCCTTTCCTGCAACACGGGTAGCCAGTAAATACCTTATTGGGGGTGGGATGCTAAAGGGGCCCACTGGCCAAGTGCCTCCCTTGTGGGCTTTCTGGGAGAAGATAGTCAAAATGTCAGCCCCTAATGGAAGGGTGAGAGGAAGAGGAGAGTGCTCTGTTGTTGTACGTTGAAGCAGGTGTTTGACAGATCCACATCCCAACCTGGCTCTGAATTTTTTTAACTTCCCTCTTTATCACAGGATTTTATTTTTTCCCAAGACTTTTTATTTTGAAAATTCTCAAACATACAGAAAAGTTTAAAGAAAAGTAAAATGAATACCGCAATAACTTCCTCTTGGACTCCTCTGTTAGCGTCTTGCCACACCTAGTTTATCTCTTGCGCTCTCTTTCCACACACACACTACATACATATTCACACAATGTCTCTTTTCCTGAACCATTTGAAAGCAAGTTCCATATACAGTGACACCTCCCCACTAAGTTTTTTGTTGTTGTTGTTTGTTTGTTTGCTTTTTTCGGTACGCGGGCCTCTCACTGTTGTGGCCTCTCCCGTTGCGGAGCACAGGCTCCGGACGCGCAGGCTCAGCGGCCATGGCTCACGGGCCCAGCCGCTCTGCAGCATGTGGGACCTTCCCGGACCGGGGCACGAACCCGTGTCCCCTGCATCGGCAGGCGGACTCTCAACCACTGCGCCACAGGGAAGCCCCCTGCTGAGTTTTTATCATGAATCTGCTCGTCATCCAGACGCTCTTCTGTGTAAGTAGATACTGTTATCGTCACAGAACAGTGAACGATGATCCATAACACCACCTCAACTCCATCACATGTTCAGCATCTCCCAATAGTCCACAGGATTTTAAAGGCACCCTCTAAGCCACTGTTGCTTTCTCCTTAAGTTTGCAGCTTTATACATAAACGGTTTCTAAAGAACAGTTCCGCATCAGTCACTTGGTGTATAAACTCGAGCACATCTGTTAAGCCCTCTTGGCACCCTCCTCTCTACATGAGGAGACACAGTTCTTTCGTTAGGCAGGTGCCCCAGCCATCCTGCTGCCCCAGGCAGGCCTCTTCCAGGTGAGGTTATCTTCAGGTATTACCTGAGCATTCTGGTCTGACTGAAGCAGCCCCGATAGCCAATCCACCCTCCAGTGCTTGGGGCTTTGAGGAGGTGGGAATGGGACTGTGGAGCTTATTTTTGATGTTTGGAAAAGCCAAACAGAAATAAAACATTTACACCATGAGATTACATTGACCAACTAAACCATCAAGTTGTTCCCCCACCACCATCCCTGCCCCCTGAATTCTGTCGTCTCTGAGTAGAATAGAATACGGAACAGCTTGACCCATTCCGAAACTCTGCTTGGCAGTTATGTGTGACTTTGAATAATTTTAAAAAAATAAGATGAAATAGTGCATTTTGTTGGGTAGGAGGGGTTTTTCAGTCTGTGAAAGAGAAAGTGGAGATTAGGAAGTAGAGAGCTGCTGGCCCAGGGTGCGCCTGCGCGGACTTCCTGACTGCGTCTGCAGTGGAGGGTCCTGGGGAGATGTTCTTGCAGTCTGCCCTGTGACCATGATTCTAGGGGCTATATTTTTACAGCTGACCCTTCTCACTTGCAAACATAACAGCTGCTATGTGTTGAATTTGGGGGATTTCCATGCTTTGATACTGTAAAATTAAATTGATTCTTGGTTCTGAAATCTTAGTTTTGATCTGTCTTGCTTCTCACTTAGGTGTGGGAGAGCAGGGAGGGAAGGGAGTATGAAATATTCTAAGGTGTATATTTTTTAAAATATTGTTCATATTTAATCATGGCTTCTGTTGGTCAACAAATATTTATTGGCCCCTTTCCAATTTCATGGTCGGGTGGGGATTCAAAGAGGTACAAGCCAGGCCTTCACGAGACCGATAGTGGGTAGCCCGGGGTGTGTGTGCAGGATGACTGCGGGGCGCTGGGCATGCACAGGAGCTGAGCCCGTGGCACAGCAAGAGGGCTCTGGGCAAGAGGTGGATTTTGAGCTGGGCCTCACAGATGGGACTTCGAGTGCAGGAAAGGAGAATGAGAGAAGCCATTCCGGAATGGCCCATGACCCAGGGTGCAGCCTGGATCTCTGACAGAAAGTACCACAAGAGGCATAGCAAGCACCATTGATTACATCAGCCATCATTTTCATGGCACTTTGGTACCTAGCCTTTTGGCGCTCAAAACAATCTTATCAGGTGGCTGTGACCCCATTTTGTGGATGTGGTGATCAAGGCTCAGAGAAGTGAATTGATTTGCTAACTTGACTAGTTAAACATAGCTATGCTCAGTGTTTACATCTTGAGGCTTACAGTACACTCACAAGCCTGGGAGCAGAGAGGGAGGTGGACAAGGAGTGACATGGATGTGCTCTGCTTTGTAGAGAGTACCACTACATCAACGCTTAGCAGTTATATATATATTTATTTATTTATTTATGTATTTATGGCTGTGTTGGGTCTTCGTTTCTGTGCGAGGGCTTTCTCCAGTTGTGGCGAGCGGGGGCCACTCTTCATCGCGGTGCGCGGGCCTCTCACTATCGCGGCCTCTCCCGTTGCGGAGCACAGGCTCCAGATGCGCAGGCTTAGTAGTTGTGGCTCACGGGCTTAGTTGCTCCGCGGCATGTGGGATCTTCCCAGACCGGGCTCGAACCCGTGTCCCCTGCATTGGCAGGCAGATTCCCAACCACTGCGCCACCAGGGAAGCCCCGCTGAGCAGTTTTAAGAAAGCAGTTTTGCTTTTCGTCTGTTTCCTTACAATCGTGTCCTTGGGTAGCATGGTTTCTTGCACTGTACCATCCATCCCAGGGCCTAGGAAACCAGCATCACTGTTATTTCTTACTTCTGAACAGTTTTTAAGAATAGACTGGCTTTTAATAAACTCTGTGGAAATGAGGTTTATACTCGTTCATGTTTCCATCTCCAGACATACCAGTGGGAAAAGGGCAGGTAAGAGAGAACTTCTTTCTTCCTGGCCTTTTTTCCTAAATTGTAAAGCGAAATTAAGAGCTTGCCCCCACTTGCGTTTATTTAGCTATCTGATTTTAAAAGTAAGTGATAAACTAGAAATACTTATATCTTGTTGCAGAACAAAAGCATTGAGTCCCCTATTACAAATACAGTGAATTGCTGTGGGATAGCAATCGTTCTCAATGAGAAATCTTCTGTAGCCATCCAGACCCTGGTTATAGTGGCAGACACCAAAAGTTCAAACTGGCTTTAACATAAACGAGGAATTTGTAACCAGGCCCTGGAACCCTGGCCCCAAGGACTCTAGATTGGGGCTTTTCGTGTTGCAGCCACCTTTGTAGTTACTGCTCATCTCTGTTCTCTGTTGGCTTCATTCTCTCTGATTGCAAACCAGTTTTTGTTGTTTTTTTTTTTTCCCTCCCATTTAACAAAAACCATGGCCTCAGGTAGTTCCAAAATCTCATTTTTCCTTTAAGAGCATCTTCCCCAGTGGCTCTAAAAGGAAAACCCCAGACCCAGACTGTGATTGACCAGGCCCTAATCACATGCCTTCTCTGGACCACTTGCAGCCGGCAGGCATGGGCTGCCGTGATTGGCCACCTTGGGTCACAGGCAGGGGCAGTGATTAGAACCACACCGTTAGGGTAAGAGGGGCACAG